GGGGAGCCCTAGCTCTTTCTGGGCTGCGCTGGGCTCGAGTGAAGCCCCTGACCTTCTCTTCGGTTCACGATCCCATTTGAAAGCGCTCAAGCCAGGAGGCAGCAGAGCAGAAACTGTTTGTTTTGTAAGAGAAAACATGTGGATAATCTTACAAGGGCTGAGCGCTGGGGCAGGAAAACAAAACCCGAGATCAGGGCTCACGGAGTCCTCCTGGGTGTTTGTTCTACAGGATGTTAATGCAGCTTGCAAAATCTTGGACATCTCTTGAAATTTTTTTAATCTTCGCTCCAGGGGTAGGCTTAGAAAACAGAGCCAGCTTTTAGGAACTTTTCCTACACCACCCTCCCTAGTGGCCCTGGTCGTATCTTTTCTAATGTCCTCTAGGCGGTATGCGACTGCGTTCGGAGTGGGCAGGGTGGCGGCATTGGGCCCCAGCTGCCAACCTGGACACTGTACATGGGTCCCCTTCTGGGCTTCCTCCACGCTTCCTGTCTTAGGAATGTTACCAGCTAGGGTTGTCCCAAGGTCCTGAGGACCCACAGACAAGATGTGTAAAACTCTTAACATGCCCCAGGGCATAGGATGTTCCCTGGCCACTGAGCTGGCCCCAAGTAGCCCAGGAATGTGCGCTTTCTACATCCTGTGCTGTTCTGGGGTGGCTCACAGGACATTGGGCATTCACACCTGACTCCGGGAAGGAAGGCAGTGCAGAGGGGCTGTCCCATGGCTCCAAGGAGATGCCCAGTGGAGAGGATGCCCTTCCCCTAGTGTGGTTGGTGCTCTTGCCTGCATGTGTTCAGGGTCAGGCTCTTCCTTTGCCCCCAGCACTCCTCTTCTGCAGTGACTCCTTCAAGGACCCAGGGAGCCCATGGGTGGCTCCCCAGGGCTCTGGCTGGACCACCTTTGTCTCCATGTGAGCTTCTTCCTGGTCTGGGTTCCATACCACCATCCCACATCCTGAACCCCAGAGGAGCTGCTGCTGCCCTGCACCTGGGTACCCAGCCCCTTGATGGCTCCTCCCCAGCGCCCTGCTCAGCAGCCCAGAGAGGCGGTGTCAGCTTGGCACAGGGTGGCCATCATGTCCCCTACCCCCTGTGAGGTCAGGGCTGGGTGTGAGTCATCATTCTCCAGCACCCAGCACAGGGCCACATGAAGTGCCCGGCCAGCCTGGTAGAGTGGGTGCGGAGTGGGGGCAGGATGGACAGGCCAAGCAGGGTGGGTGGGTGGATGAGGGAGGAGTTGGATGGGCAAATGAATGAAGAAGCAATGATAGCCAGCACCGGCTAGCAGGCAGAGGTCCATCTTTCATCCTGCAATTTTGTGTCATTTAAATTCCATAAATCCAGCTTGAGGGGGAAAAACCACAGTTCTCTTCCAGGCCTATTATGTGAGCTGATGCTGCTGTCAGCGTTCTCGCTTGTGCCAGTCCACCTCGGGGTTGGCTCAGAGGCAGGTACTGCTGCTTCCACACAGAGGACCATGTGTGAAGCAACAGGGCACTCAGAGAGCTGTGTGGGCGCAGGCGCAGGGGTCGGCAGGAGCTCTGCTCGCTTCTGCTCCATCCTGGCCTTCAGGGTGCAGCGCGAATGGGCGCCTGGCACTGGGACAGCTTCCTCTCCTGCCCGCACGAGTGGGCCGGCACGGAAGGCTCCTCCCGGTCGGGATGGCCTTGCTCTGCCCAGGGAGGCTTTTGCTGTGACACACAGCGCCCTCGGGGCTGACCTGGCCTGGCCTTCCCTGGGCAGTGGCCACCCTCGTCCCCATACCAAAACCCTATCCCTCGGTCCTGGCCAAGTGGCCCTGTGTGAGGACAGAGCCTGTGCAGAGCACACTAAGGTAAACTGAGGTCACCAGAGTGGGCTCTATCCAATCTGAGGTCCTTGCAAAGAGAGCAGGACACAGACATACAGAAGGTGACACTGTGGGACACTGAGAAGGCAGCCGTTGGACGCCAAGGGCAAGTTTCGTCTAGGGGAAGCCAGCCCTGTAGACACCTGCCCCTAGGGTGACACACGTCAGCTGTGAAAGGCCCTGGCTGGCCTGTGACAGTTTGTCAAGCCCCGCTGGCATGCAGTGGCTCTTCCCAGGACGATTTCTGAGAGCGCAGACAGGACCAGAGAGATTAGCCCATTCTGGAAGAGGAAACGGAGGCAAGGAGTGGCTTGGTCCCCCTGACGTGGCACCCACAGCTGCCAGGGCCACAGCCCAGCCTTGTCTGGGCTACCACTGCCTAGAGGACCACGGCTCGCCACAGGGATGGTGTGGGTATCCAGAGAGGTCTCATGGTGTGGGGACAGTGGACAGCACAGAGTCCAGTGGTGCTGAGATGGGAGGTGGACGCAGGAACTGGGGTACAGGTGGAGCCTGGCACAGACAGTGCCCAGGAGCTCGGGGGCACCGCATTCCGTCTGCCTGGAAGTGTCCATAATTCTTTCTGGGGAACTTGGGCAGTGGGGTTGGAAGGTTCACACTGGGGCTGAGCAGAGCACAAGATGAACTTTGTGTCCGCCCCACCCCATCCCAGGGAGAGTTCTGAGGCTCCAGGCCGTGGATCAGACCTGGCTGGGCTGCCCAAGTGCCCTGGGGCTCAGGGTACAGAGAGGCTGGGAAGATCAACCCTCTCCCGCCCCCTCACTCCATCACAGAAAGGGCCTGCAGTGCGGGCACCCTGGCTCAGCAGCTTCCCCTCAGTTCCTCAGTCTGCACCCATGGTGGTGACAATGACAGTTCCGGATGGATGGGGCTCCTGCCCCAGCCCCAAGTGTCCTGCCACCTACCTGGTCCAGCAGCCAGGGCCAGCAGCTGCAACAGCACTGGTCCGTAGCAGTGACACAGCTCAGCAGGGGCAGCAGGGACACAGGCAGCCTCTTGCCATCTGCTGGCACCGGGTGCGGGCACATCTGGGCTGTGCTCACCCCCCCTTCTTATGCCAGCCTGTGGGAATGCTCAGCAGGGGACAACTCCATTCCCTGATGCCGCCGCTGCTGTTTGCAGCATCACCAGCACAGCCTCTTTTCCTGAAGTGACCCTGGCTCAGCAAGAGATGACAAGATGACCATGGCGGATGACCAACCCGACAGGTCTAGAGAGCTGCAG